GACGATCATCCGCTGAATTCTTAATTAGCGGGACTGCTTTGATAAAAACGCCTCTTGTGTGAGGATCTCGGTAGGTAAATGGTTTAAGTGTCGTCCCATAGTGAACGCTCGCTTTTGCGTATAATCACTGATTCTATTCTTGACGGAATTCTTTCCTTTGCAAAAATTATGTAAGAAGCACTTCGTGTTGAAGATTTATTACATTGTATGATTACCTTGTATTAAAGTGTGCAGAAAGTGACAAGCTAGCATAAAATATCGACAGTACAGATAATGGTCCATATTTACATGCAAAGTTATGGCACAAATCAAACACAAGATAAATACTAAATTTATGGGGCATAGATTTTGTTTTTTCCTCGATACCTTGTATATGTTTTGTGAGAGAGAGAGAGAGAGAGAGAGAGAGAGAGAGAGAGAGAGAGAGAGAGAGAGAGAGAGAGAGAGAGAGAACGTGCATTTTCTAGTTTCACGGACCCTCGTTTGATCCTGCTGTTTATCCTGCGCCTATATAAAATTAATTTAAATATAATCCCTATATTAAATGTTGGTTTAAATTTGATATGAGTGTCGAAATTATCATAGGGATATGTAAGCAATGATTTATCTCTATTTAACTTATTCATAACACTCAATAAAGTTTACAACTTAAAAAGCATTTAAATCCTCTCTATTTTTCTCTATATTCTCTCTCTCTCTCTGTTCTCTTTGCTTGTTTTAAACTTTTTACATTAACATCACCGAAACCATGTGCCCTTGGTCAATTTCAATCAAACTTGGAATAAATCGTCCTCGGGGAGAAGACTCATGTTTTTTAAAAAGAATGCCCATGCAATGTCCCGTGCGAAGGGGTCGGGGGGGGGGGGGGTAATAATAAAATTGTAAAAATGAAGTCCTGATTTAAAAATCTTCTGAAGCTAAAATTTAAGTAAAAGCATCCTTAAATGTGTAAATTTAAGTATCTTCAACCGAGAGGATCCTCGAAAATATGGAATGGTAGTCCAAGTTTTACACTGGGATACGTGGGTTTGAAATAAACGGTTCTTCTCACGAACACAAAAAAGACAATTAGACGTACATCTATATGCAAGTCGAACAATCAAGACCAAAGTCTGACTTGGAAATATTGTGTACGATGAGAATCTTAAACCGATTCACGCGCAGTAAGAGCTACAAATGGCCACAATGATATACAACCATAACATGTTTCAAGATGATTCGGTATAATACACAATTCTTGGGGCAAGAGTAGAGCCACGACAACAGGGGACGTAAGAAGGGACAGAAATATATAGACTGCAAAGCCATAAGCAACAAGAACCACAGGCACCTGAAGTATGGATAATACCCCCCTTTTTTTAATGAAAAAAAATGTAAGAGTGTATAATACCTCGAAAATATAAAATTCCCCCGTCAAACACATCTATATGTCGTTATATGCATGCAGATTGTACTTTTTCTCACGTTTAAAGAATGGCCCTATTCGGTATATAATAAAATTTTTTATTATATACCGATTTTATTCAACATTCAAATAATTTTATTTGAATGTGCAGAAAAAAGGGGGGTTATTATCCATACTTCAGGTGCCTGTGTCGATATTGGCCCGGTGGTTCTTGAGAAGAAGTCGAAAATGTGAAAAGCTTACATACAGACCAACAAATAGACAGGCGCTGTATAGAAAAAAAAATGTGATTTTAAAATCTCACTAGCTTTTCAGCTCAGGTGAGCTATAAAACTCAATTTGACCTAGTGCGTCTTTAATATTGTCCTACTGTTTTGAAAAAATATCCTTTTATTTGGACTTCTGCTTAATACATGTAAATCAAAAATTAATTAAATAGAATTCCTTTCAATCCTATTGCCAAGAATATGTATGTGAATGTAAACACTGATACCCCTCGTACGGTAGCCTATGGCGTGGGTTGAATTCTCTCAAATGCATGTCAAACTCCAAAGGTCAAAGTCAAAGGGTCAAAAGTGTTAGTACGCAAAGGAAGGTCTTGTTACAAGGAATACACCTGTGAAATATGAAAGCCCTAATTCCAACTGTTGAAAAGTTATAGCCAAGGTTAAAGTGTGATTTTTTTTGTAAAAGTAGGTCAAACTCCAAGGTCAAGAGGTCACATTTGGTGGTACCCAAAGAAAGGTCTTATCACAAGGAATACACCAGTGAAATATGAAAGCCATAGCCCCATCCACTCAATAGTTATGAGCTAGGTTAAAGTTGACGACAGACAGAAAAACAGACAGACAGGACAAAACAATATACCCCCGGGATCTTTCGATCCCGGGCATTAAAATCCCAAATCTTCACCATGCATGCAAGGGGTTATCTTTCTATGAAATGTCACGGTAAAAAAGGGAGGCGGAGCACACAAAAAATCCCCCTTATACACGCCCACATATTTTTCAATCAGATCATATGGAAGGAGTTGAAATTCAGAGAAAGTTAAAAACAACTGACAATAGTACACATGTACAGAATACGCAAATAAAGATTCTTATCAAGAGACATACATGTCTAGATCATTGGTACATACTTGTGTTTGATGAAGTAAGGCATCATTTAATTACTAAGTCTGGTGCGTAGTGTCTTGAGATAGGTTAAGAGGAATGTTTTCATTCCATGATTAACAACTTTTCCATTAATTCCCAGATCTTTCCCCACATCTTTTAGAAGACCAACCCCGCCCCTTATTACAGCCCTCAAACGGAACAAGAAAATGTGTTAGTACAGTGAGACAATAAATTCCTTTCTGTTAAAGATCGACAAAGGTAAAGGTAATTAAAACATATGTGAATGTGTGAAGATGGAACATCCTTTGGCAGTGACATTAACTATACATGCCGAATAACTAAAGTCAATTTTTTTTATCTTGTAGATAATGTCATATCCCGACCTAAAAAAAAAAAAGATGCCCAGGTCAAAAGGGAAGGTCATGAGTCAAGCACAACATCCTTCGTGTCATACACACATATATATACATGTCATAATTATCGTAAAAGTAGTTTACAAAAATGTTTTATACTTGAAACAAGGAAGAAAAAATGACAAGAAAATGAGTGAAAAACCTTTTAACCTTTCTAGAAAGATAACAAAAATATGCCCCCCCCCCTACAGGTGACGGTATACCTATCACCATTATAACCTTTTTAATGTAGAAATTTCAAATGGTCCTTCGGATGAGGCCGTATAAACCGAGGTCTCGTGTCGCGGTATAGGTGCTGGCACGAATAAGATCCTTCCCTGTTCAATGACCCTAAGTCGTGTAAGTGCCGAGTATCCAGGACAAAATTTGCAGCTCTCCACCTCCACCGGCCTGTGGTGACATCTCCATATGAGTGACAATTCTCGAGAGGGACGTTAAACAACATATATACAATCAATTAATCAATCAAACAAATATCTCTAAATATTATAACTATATACATATAGTAGTGAAGGAAAAACTTCAAGAGTACTGTGCAACTATATATCCAAGAAGTGGTGTGAATCAGATGTGGATACTAAAAAATTCTAAAGAACTTTTGGACAATTTGAAATCACAAGACTTTACAAAAATCAACAGCTTAAAAACGTACGACTTTTCAACTTTATACACAATAATTCCCCCACGACAAATTAAAATCCAGGCTTTTTGATATCATTGACAGCTGCTTCTTCAATAAAAATGGAACTCGTAAATTTACTTACCTCGTCATTGGTCATTTGCTAAATTATTTTGTTAAAACAGATTCTAACTGCACACATAAGTACTCTGAAGTTGACATCAGGAAGATGATTGAGTTTCTGATTGACAATATCTATGTGGTTTTTGTAGACCAGGTATTCCAACAATCTATTGGAATTCCCATGGGTACAAATTGCGCTCCATTATTAGCAGACCTATTTTTATATTCATATGAAGCAGAATTTATGCATAATCTTATGCGTGAAAAGAAAAGAACACTTGCTGTGGCCTTCAACTCGATATTTAGATATATCGACGACGTATTGTCAATTAATAATGGTAATTTCCATTCCTACGTCGATACGATATATCCTGGTGAGCTTGAGATAAAAGATACCACAGAGTCCGAAACTTCTGTTTCATACTTGGATATCTTGAAAAAGACACTAATAGTAATCTAACAACCAAGCTATATGATAAACGTGATGACTTTAACTTTTCTATCGTCAACTTTCCTTACTTATGCAGCAATATAACTTCATCACCTGCACACGGAGTATATATATCTCAGTTGATTCGATACGCAAGAGCATGCTCTACATATGAACAATTTCTGAAACGAGGTAAATTATTGACAAGCAAGTTGCATCTTCGCTAGCCAAGGGTTTCTGATACGCTACTCTCCTCATAAACCCAGGGTTTATGCGTATCAGGAGAGAATGAAACAAGAATATCAGTTTAAAACCGTACATGTAAGTTCTATACAATGACGATACAATGACCTTCTCAGCAAATACAATTTATCATTAAGTCAAATGCTGACTGACGTTTTTCATACCAATTGTTAGTCCATTATTTATACACTGGGATTTTTGTTATTTCCCGATTATCCTCCATGGCACTCCTCCATGGCACCTGATCACACCTCTGGTGTTCTGCTCTTATTTTGTATTGTTTTATGGACTTTGAGATTGAATACTCTTCGTTATCTCCATATCCTTCTACAAAGCAGCCTATTTTCATCATGTTCATTGGGAAACAATCTGGGGCTTCTTTGTGGAGCTATTTCCTATACATGTTAATAGCGCCATGAGACATGAGGTTGTTCATTTTTGTATGTTTTTCCTTTTGCAAATTGCGTTCAAGTAAAGGGGAACTGCACCAACTTCTAAATTTATTTTCACGGAAAAAGAAACTCTGTGTCATCTTGGCTCCTGTACTTATGATCATACGCTCTTCAAAAAAGGAGGTCAAAAGAGTCCCCACATCAACAACCAAAACAAACCACCTGTCCAAAATATTAATTTAAGTTTTTAACGCTGAAACTGTACATCCTTATTCTAATGGCTGTAATTGGTGTCTGTTTTTCTTTATATGCAATTTAATTTCTGCATTGATGTAATGGAAAGTAAATTGACGATGTCAAAAATATTTTTGACACTGTAACTGTTACATCCGAAAATCTGATCAGAAGGAGGTAAGTTCGTCAGCAGAGTAACCACAGCATATTTTTACTTTCTAGGACACGGTATTTTTTTTTTGTTAAAAATTCCTCTTATCCATCAACGCCAAAGTGTTACGGGCTGTAAGTAAGTATCCCTTCAACAAATATAGTGAAAGGAGATGGGTGAACTTAGCGTGCAAAAAACCCACAAGCTTCATATTTATAAAAATCATATTCAAATTGTTATTTTAGTATTTAGAGTAAAGTTCTCATCATTGATTTTTGTAAAATCATGATAAACAAAAAGTTCTGGGGAAAATTTTTCATTAAAATTTATTCTTTTATCAAGAAAAATTATGTGGTATCCATTGGGTTCGTACCCTGACAATAAAAATCCTGAGTTTCATTCTCTATTGAGACTAGCGCGCTAACCACTACGCTACACAAGTCTTGATAAAGTGTGGCATTTAAATCATGTTTGTGATATGCCCATTGACTTAAGGGACTTCAAGTATTTCTCAAAAAGATACAAAAGTTATGTCATAAACTTATATTTGTTAGGTATAGTGGGTCATTGCTCCATAATTTTGGAGACCAAAATATGCATGTTTTTATGCAAACTTTGAGGATTAACTTTCAAAAAAATGGAGAGAAGACCCACTCATAACGAAAAATAGTGTTATAGTGTGAAAAAATGACTCGTTTTGTCCTCTTTTGTGTGTGTATCATATTTCGTAGGCAAATAACTTCAATTTTCATGAGATTTGTGCAATTTGCAGAGATTTTACATAAAGTATACTTTAATGTTAGATGAAATATTAAGGAAAATTTTGATAAAATTGAGATTTAATTTTTCACCTTCATGTTTGTTGCACTATGGGCTTATCTCTCGTCATGTTCACCCATCTCCTTTTCTAGAAATTTTTTTTCCCACCTACCTTGAACTTCCGACCAAATAATAATTTTACCCTGCGGTGGAGAGGGTGATCAAACATTATTTTAAGGATGGATTTATTACAATTAATCTTTTAATTTATGATTTGCAGCACAAAATGTCAGATAAATTGAAGAAAAGTGTTCTAAGAGGATGTTTAGAGCATCTTCCCACCTTGAACTCCAGGGTTGTCAGGATCTTCATCAGTTCTACATTTACAGGTAAGATTCAGTTTATGTTTACAGGTAGGAATCAATTCTACTACAAGGTAGGAATCAGTTCTACATTAACAGGTAGGAATCTAACAATTCTACATTTACAGGTAGGAATCAGTTCTACATTTACAGGTAGGAATTAGTTCTACATTTACAGGTAGGAATCAGTTCTACATTTACAGGTAGGAATCAGTTCTACATTTACAGGTAGGAATTAGTTCTACATTTACAGGTAGGAATCAGTTCTACATTTACAGGTAGGAATTAGAATTAGTTCTACATTTACATGTAGAGATAAGTTCTACATTTACAGGTAGGTTCTACATTAACAGGTAGGAATTCTACATTTACAGGTAGGAATCAGTTCTACATTTACAGGTAGGAATTAGTTCTACATTTACAGGTAGGAACTGGTTCTACATTTACAGGTAGGAATTAGTTCTACATTTACAGGTAGGAATTAGTTCTACATTTACATGTAGAGATAAGTTCTACATTTACAGGTAGGAATTAGTTCTACATTTACAGGTAGGAATCAGTTCTACATTTACAGGTAGGAATCAGTTCTACATTTACAGGTAGGAATCAGTTCTACATTTACAGGTAGGAATCAGTTCTACATTTACAGGTAGGAATTAGTTCTACATTTACAGGTAGGAATTAGTTCTACATTTACAGGTAGGAATTAGTTCTACATTTACAGGTAGGACCAGGTTCTAGCGGGTAACACCGTAACACGAATTACCGGAATGCCCCGTAATCACCGAAATGCCCCAAAAAATCTCCGAAATGCCCCTAAAAATCACCGAGATGCCCTTACATATGTTTTTACATGATGTTTTTCATAAAAATTAATGCTTAATTTTTTCAGTTAAGCATAACTGATGGTAAAATTAATTATTTTCATGTTTTGTGCTTGAAGCGTATCGTACTTCAAAGGGCGATAACTCGTATTTGGTGATGAACTTCTAGGAAGTGAAGTCTACGATGTTTAAAATCTAAGAAATAATAATGTCTTATGATATTTCTCGGAGAAAATTAGATGGCAAATGATTGTAACTGTATGATTAAAAAAAATATCTGTGACTTTTTTTTTTGCCATTTCTTCCTTTTCTACCAACTTTTTGCTTTGTGAACCAGGTTGGACCATTTATATTTGTCTGCAGACGCCTGCTGGGGGAAAATATATATACCTGCCATTATTCATTGAGTAAATTTATCTTTTATTGTATATATTTACTTTTACAGACCATAAAGTGAATGTTTCACCAAACAAAACGAGAGAGGGGGTACCGTACACCAATTTCGTAATAAATTAGGACCGAGATGTAAGAATTGCAAAAGACAAATGCAAACATAAAATGAAAAAAAAGGTTTTAAACTATTACTTAATTAATACCCATGAGATTAGTAGTCTGTGTATACACAGTAAACGTAATTTCAGATATCCATTTGTTTCAGACGAATTAACATATTTAACACAATAAATCAAATAATTTTGTCTTAATTTTTTAAGTAATCATTAATACAAGTAAAAAACGAATTAACATATTTAACACAATAAATCAAATAAATAATCATTGATACAAGTAAAAAAATTATGAAACTTTAAAAAAAAATTGTTATTTTATAAATACAAAAACGAAACAAAACTATAATTTATTAATTTTGTTATTTTCCTTAAACATTGCAGTTCTTTTCTTTGCTAATCACCAGATGATCATATATTCTATAGGATTCATTCATACAAATTGAATAGAATTCCAAAGAGACAATCACAGTATTCAAGCATTGATTCTCGTTTACGCATCTGTTACTGTACTGATGAGAAGTGAGAGATCCAATCAAACTTTTAATAATTATATAAGATTTTAAAAAATTGTTGCATTAAAATTCCCATTTTCATATTCAGATAAAAATGAAATTTGATTAAATTCATACATGGCAAATATTTTTTTTTTTAATTAAACGTAAAAAGATCTTAAAAGTTCCATTTGCTTTAAAACTTAATATAAGGATAGGATTTTCCAGTAAAATTACACTTGTGTACTCTGTTTTTAGAAATCAAGAATATACGTATATAATATTACAAACAGTATTTTAATTGATATGAAAAATATAACTTGTGGTTTAAAATATATTCAAAAAGAAAAAGAAAGGGAAAAATTAAAAATAAGACTATTTTGGCACGTGCCTTTAATCAGTGAGAGTCATCTTTCTTAGATACTATTACATGCACAATTTTCTTTTCAAACATGTCAAATAAGAATACTTACGCCAACATTATGAAATTTTTATTCGGTATCTAGGCTCTAGAACCTTTTAAAACATCAATATTTATTAATTTTTTGTTTATATATAACAAAATAAGGGGCATTTCGGTGATTTCTTGGGGCATTTCGGTGATTACGGCCGGCATTCCGGTGATTCGTAGTACCGGGTTCTAGCTACTATTACATGTAGGAATCAGCTTAATCCTTAACTCAAAACAGGCAAACAAAAACTTTATGTAGCAATGAATAATTTAGGCTCCTTTAAATATTCATCAAAGTGCTATATTAACATTATCGTTTACAGTACTTTGCACTTTGTAAAGAATCAAATTCAGTGTATTTTTAATGGATATTTTTAAACAGATACAAGAGAAGAAAGAAATATTCTTATTGAGGAGGTGTATCCCAGACTCCAGTCCTACTGTAAACAAAACTATGGGTTGGAATTTCAGGTAATTCACATATCCCAGAAGTCCCTGTTTATTGTTTAAAGTTAAATAAGGCCATTCCAAGTTTTTTCTATGTTTAGCATCCACTCATCTTACAAAAACCTACCTACCTATTTGCAAAAAAACACACAGACCAAAAAAGAGAACACAGACTTTATAGTCATAAAAGTTACATCTTTCAAAGGATTTGATTTCAAAAATTAATTTTTCTCCTTTCTAGATCTATACTTTAGCTAAATCCATGTACTAAATTCTCAAAATATACCAAATATGAAAAACTGTAGACAGACAGATCATTACAGGAAATGGTATAACTCAAAGATTTCAACCAGAATAATCAATATCAGGTCTCCTTATTTTGTTTGTTTTTTATATTGGGTGTCAAAAACCAAGGCACATGCAGACGCTAAACATAGAAAAAACTTGGAATAGCCTAATTGCAAAATCCTACTCACTATGAAAAAAATTACATCGGTTAAAAGAAATTTTACAGAGCAGATGAATATAACAAATCTATGACTGGTATATAGAGTATGGTTAACAATCTAAGGAATATGTAAATGAATATCTCCCTTTATACAATATGTGTAGGTTTCAGTTTAACAGGTCGGAGAGAATACTCGAAATCGGGTATTATCCGTGAAATCGCGTATAATACCCGATATTATACAATATGTATTGTGCAACTTTCATTAAAAACAAAAGAATAAAGGAACGGCGCATTATGCCAGTTACTTTTACTTGTACATCAGTATCTTGTGGATTTATTTTTATTAAACCTAATTCATACGGTTGTCAAATAAGTTTAAAATCACACGACAAACACTGCTGGGGTAACAAAGATGACACAATGGCGTTATTATTTTTCAATATAATTTCTAAAAACAAATAACTACACTTCGTTTGTCTTTATTTCCCATTAAAGTATTCCATATACTTAATTTTCTAATTTGTGCACTATTCACAAAATGTGAAACTTTAAAGAAATTAAACAACTAACGCCGTGTTATGTATTTTTACTGAAAAATGTATGGCGTCCCTTTTACGTGAAATATGAATTATTCCTAACAGTTAGAGAGTACAGTATAAGCGAGTCATAATTGTATATCTCTGCCATAATAGAATACCATTATATTCAATTTTTATTATAAAGAAGAAAATAAAATAAGATTAAATAAATACCCACGGGAAAACAGGTTGAAAATAGCTTATTGAAGGTGAGTAATATTTTTTTTATGTCAATTTAGCATGGAAATTTTTATTCAAAGACACCGTAAATTTTTTGGTTGCATTTTAATCGATGCAAGATATGCTATTTTACCTTTATTTTATGCATTTGAGTGAAAATTGAGAGCGAGAAGTCATATGTACAGGATTTTCTTTTTTTGGGGGGGGGGTATAAATAAAAGTCCAATGTGTACATCTTTTCATGAGCTTATAATACATCGAATTTCTCAATTAATATAGATCGAGGTACAGTCATATTGAAATATGAATAACATAGTCAAGTTTTCACATTTCTGATAGTTTATGAACATGTTAATGAAAAACTAAAATAATGGAGTGTTCAATTGCCTTGGAAACTCTTGTCTTACTTTTTGGGAATATAATTCCTCATCGGACATTAAAATTTCATAAAAATTGTAGCCACTTCCTTTCTTTATTATACTTTTTGAAAGACAGGGTAAATTTTACCTCTTTACCTTCTATATTTTTTACCTTCTTTACCTTCTATATATATATATTTATTACCTCATTAAAAATATGCTAATACAACGCACTATCTGATTGGTTCTAGACAATATGTCACAGTTTTATTTTAGTTATTTTATCTATGATACGTATTACTCATGGCAATAACTATTCCTAATACTCATCTAAAGGGTGTTAAGAAAGTTCGTTCCACATTTTGCTTTTATTTTTGAAAAGAAATACGATGAGAAGATATTTACAATTTGTGATGTTTCATGTTTACAGAGTCAATTCTTGCTACTGATAAGGTTTTAACTGTCCTTTGTTGAATCAATAAGGGGAGGACTATATATTAAAACAGATGATTTCTGTTCAGAAAAAGTAGGGATGACGCATATTTGTGACATATATTAAGTAAAGAGGTCAAAATACCCTTTTAAATACTATGCAAAAATTATCAAATTTGTGAAAATTTTCAAAATGACAAACCAATTGTTTTGAAAAGTGATCTATCATTCTTATACCTATACGGTCATCAGCTTGTCTGATGCAAGATAAGCTATGAAGAAACAAAAATAGATTATCCTTTATTCTCACTCAAAATGACCATCATTTCTATCATTCGGGTGCTTAAAAGATGTTATATATATATTTCCATATGCAGACCTGCCAACCAAAATTGATGCTGCGGGGGGTCATGACCCAACATTCAGAATTGAAATGTTGGGTCACAGACATTTTCGTTGGGGTTTGGTAACAAAATGCTTCCTAATTTTTAGGCATCAATGCAAGCAGTCAAACACATGCATGTATATGTTATAATATTTTATTGCAGACTTAATTTTTTACTTAGGACAGGTTACCTAAAATTGCTTGTATAAGAAACTTTTAGATTGATAGTAAGATTCAGAAAATAGTTCAATGAATTTTTGCAAAGTTTTAAAAATTTAAAAAGTTTCAGGGAAACATTTGTTAGATTCTACAATGATTAATTTTCAACATATTACACAATCAGAAAATTGTAATTTGACATTACATTGAAAGATTAATATTGAAAAATTGCTGCTGCAGGGGGTGGTGGTAAGAAATATGTGCCATCTAATTTTCCATTATTAATTTTAAAACACACAAAAAATAAATTAAATGAATCAAATACTACAAAATAAATAATGAAAGATACCTAACACCCCAAACAAAACCTTAAAATCGTTAGAGTCATGATGTGACTGACAAGTGGGTATTTCCTTCAGGCTTGTCATAGCCATTTAACAAAGAAACACACCGTATAATACTACATTTTTTTTGGGGGGGGGGAGAGAAATTCAATATACTTCATTTTTAGACTCTTTTGCTTTATCTTAATATCATTTTCTTTTAACCACTACACTTAACAATAATTTCAATATATGAGAGCTGATAAAATCAGCTGTTATCAGTTATGCTTTGTAGTTTCGTTTTTTACTTTCGTTTTTAAAAAACGATCCCAATGTTTATCATATCATTGTATTTAATTAATTAATTTCTGTTTTTAATAAAATGATATTTAATTAACCTTTAAATCTATGTGGCTCACCATGCATATACCCCTTCAAATGGTTATATAATCCCCTAAATGCTCCAGGCATATTACCTGTACAGCTGTGTCAGTCTGCGATCAAGCGTGAAGTGATTTCCTGTGGCTAATTAACAGTTTTTTAACACCTCGGCAAACAAAGATACTAATCTGTGTGCATTGAATAAACAAGATGTTCATATCCTGATTTATAAAACACAAATCGGAAATTTTAGGATGAATTTTCAGATCTTTCTTGTTGAGACAAACATGTTTAATTAATATTGGGTCAAAAAATTGGGATGATCGATTTGCGGGTGAAAACAATGACACACCGCGGGTCATTATGAGTGGGGGGTGAGAGGTCAATTTTGCGGGTGTAACCCACCGAATGCGGGTCACTTGGCAGGTCTGCCATATGGAAGAAAAATCCTACAATTTCCTGCAAGAAATGAATTGCTATAAATCCAAAGCACATTCTTGTGATTTTGTCAGACTTGAAAATTCATCTCTTTAGTTAAGCACTACTTTGAAATTTTTGAAAATATTTCATCCTGGAACGAACTTTCTTAACACCCCCTATAATAAAAAAATGTGTTAAAAAATAAACAAGAATTCTACTTACTTGTAGTCTCATATTGTGTTAGAAAATAACAGGTTGCTTTTTGTTTACCTATATGATATTTATTTGATGAATAAACTACAATTAAAAATAAATAGTTATGTGACATTCAAAGAGAGATCTCTTGGACACATATAAACACAGCTGATGTTGTTTTGTCAGAGGTGGTCAGAAACCTTTCTTTTGAAGTCGCCAAGAAATGGTAAAATATTGATGACTTAGCGAAATTAAAGATGAAAGTTATGTTCTCTCATAAGCTGTATTCCTGAAACTATCACTGTCTCTGCTAAAATGTCGAAGACATATTCTGCAAATATGTATGAATGATAAAAAAAAAGATTTTCAAAAAAGAGAAAGAGGTTTTTTAGCCGAAATTTTAGACATTTTTATCGTTACATTATTTATACATTCATAAATAAATTTGATTTTATGCACAAGATGAATGTGAAAGTAATTAATGACGCATAATTAGATACGATAGACAATCCCTTGTTTATACATGGCATCATGTCTTGTGTGTGAAATGTGTTTCCGTACAATTTGATTTATTTACAAATTGTTCATGTTTGTCGTGTTGATGAGGCATTAATAAACTAAATTCTGATACTTTACCATTCTGTTGTGTTGGGAATGAACATTAGGAAGATGCATATACTTTCAACATTATGAAAAATATAAAGCAAATCGAATGCCTTTTTGTGTGCAGATCATGAAATGTACTGATCTCCACGGGTATTTGTTGTCCTGAGCGCATTAATCTTGACGCCCATATTCTTACTTGGCTAGTGATACCTTTAGAAAACATGTGTATCTAAATGAAAGTTAACTCGGCAACATGCGCCATCCCCTTGTTTAAGTTTTATTAGGTGATTACACCTCCTATACCCGATTTCGCGGATTCAACGATACCCTAATATCGGGTATTATACGCGATTTCACGGATAATACTCGATTTCGAGTATTCTCTCCGACCTGTTTAACTGTAGCAGTCTTCATTTTACAGGTATCTCATTTTATACAATATGTGTAGGTCTCTGTTTAACTGTAGCAGTCTTGATTTCACAGGCATCTCCCTTTATACAATATGTGTAGGTCTCAGTTTAACTGTAGAAGTCTTGATTTCACAGGCATCTCCCTTTATACAATATGTGTAGGTCTCAGTTTAACTGTAGAAGTCTTGAATTTACAGGTATGATTATCTCCCTTTATACAATTGGAATATTTCCTTCCATAAAATATTTGTAGGTCTCAGTTTAACTGTAGCAGTCTTGATTTCACAGGCATCTCCCTTTATACAATATGTGTAGGTCTCAGTTTAACTGTAGCAGTCTTGAATTTACAGGTATGATTATCTCCCTTTATACAATTGGAATATTTCCTTCCATAAAATATTTGTAGGTTTCAGTTTAACTGTAAGAGTCTTGATTGACAGGTGTGAGTATCTCCCTCTGTACAATATCTGTAGGTTGCAGTTTAACTGTATGTGTAGGTGTCAGATTAACTGTAGAAGTCTTGATTGACAGGTGGTGGACATGAGATGGGGGGTTCCTGAAGAGGCCTCAGATGACCACTCTACTTCTGCCCTTTGTCTGGCTGAAGTTCTTAACTGTCAAAATCTGTCCACAGGGCCAAACTTTGTGGTAAAAAAGGAAACATTCAAACAAACAATGTGCTGTAGTACACAAATGACTATGCATAAAAACTTGAGCATTTTTTTCTGTGAATATATTTTTTACTGAAATAAAGTCTGACACAAGAAACAAGAAATTTTCATGATCTCATAACTCAAGTCAATATTGAAAAAAATATAATATAGCATGTAAGTCTGATTTATCAATTAACACAGTAAAAATAGCCTTATTTGTAAAAATATTTTCAGACATTTCTGAATCAGCGACATGGATACCGGGCCTTGCAGACAGTTATACCTGGGGAGGAGTTTAATCAGCTGATGGGGGCTCTGAAGACTATGGGAGAGGACCTGTCCTCATTTAATATCTGGTACAAGGAGGACACAAATTCCATTCCTCCTGTATTTGTCCTCCAGCAAATCAGCAGTGTCATCCCTAATTACAAAATAAAGGTTACCTGTATTATTCATTATTACATGATTTACTTACTAACAGTGTACATCTTTTTAAAACTGCCCCAAAATTAAGATATGAATAAATATTAAGGTAATGGTTTTAAAGCAATAATGCATGTTCATTATATGAGTATATAGAATAGATCATTTCTGTGTTTTTTCAGAATCAGTTACAGTACTGTGGAACCATCAGATTTTGTGATAGCCCAATTTTTTGTGGAATTTATTGGTATTTTACCCCTCATCACAAATTAACATCTTCCACAAATTAATAAACTTTGTTACTAAGTCATATTTCCTTTTGTAGGCACAAGAAAATAGATAAAATTACGTCCCCTTGAGTTCTGTCAAATTAAAACAATGCACAGAAATTGGTCCCCACTACTTTAAGTGATTCCACTGTATCAGAAAATGTTGATTTAATTGATTATTTTGTGGAGTAATTTTTTATTAGATTTACAAGGAAAACATTGTTTTCAAAGAAAATATTTGTATAGACTAGAAAAATATCAATGTTTTGCTCATTTTTCTCACTTGAATTATTTTTTTTAATGAAGATTGTTTCTTATCACTACTGAAAGCTTATAACCTAGCTCTTGGTGTGACAGTAATGGTTTTACAGTAAATTATAATCAATATGTTTATGGAAAAATGTTAATGTTTTTGATTCTAGATGGTAAACATTTCTGTTTAAGTCTGAAATGAGAAAAAATTATAAATCATGGAAAAATACAACTTAAGTAATTTTAGTGTCCCCCGCTTTCACTGAAAGTGGGGGATATTAATTTGGGTCTGTCCGTCCGTCCATCTTTCTGTCTGTCTGTAACGCTTTCATTTCCGCATGATATCTCGAGAACCCTTTGAGCTTTCACAATGAAATTTTGCATAGCAACTCCCTATAGCCTAAAGAAGAACCATATAGACAAATTTTGCATTCTAAGAGTTATCTCCCATTGTCGGCGTAACGATAATTTTTCCCACTTTGTTACCTGTTAATAGTTTTAAATTTCAAATGTTATAGGACAGTTTCGATCTGTACCTGTATTGCCAGAGAAGGGGCAACATGAAAAACATAGTGAGCATATTCATATAGATTTCATTTCTAAGATACTGACCCATGAAATTGGTAAGGTTATAGAAGGAAAACTGCCTTATGTCGGTTGACCCAGATTGACTCCACAAAGGGGAATAACTTTTGTAAATGTGAAAGACATCTATTGATTTTGAGATCAAAAGGTCGAAGGTCAAGGTCATACATTCTGTCTGTTTTAACACTTGGTCCCCTATTGATTTTTAGGGCAAAAGGTCAAAGTTCAAGGTCATAAATTCATACATTTCATCAGTGTGTAACACTTTTGTTTCCGAGCAATATCTCTAGAAGATTTTGAGCTTTTGCAATGAAATTTATACCAAAACTCCCTCGGGCCTCTCTCGTCCCTCTCAAAGTTTTCTGCCCCGTTTCTTTTATAAGTATTTATTGTATTAAATGTCTTTGGCACTATTTTTAGCACAGGGGCATGTGGAGAGTTATTACATATAATACAGGTTGTCAGTGGACTTTTTGTCCCATGCTTTCAATCTTCTATACACATAATAAAGAATAAGCAATCAAGTCTTTATTTACATATTGGCATTTTTTATTTAATGCAATATACATGTATATATTTAATAATTCTATAAATTCGGGGGGTGGGGGGTGGGGGGGGTGGGGGGTTCCGATTTACCCCCCCCCCCCCCCCCCCTCTGAACTGCATACAGTAAAACTCGTTTAGTACGAACACGGATATTGAGAAATCACGGATATAGCGAAGTCATTTTAAATCTACCTCTATGTAAACTTAATGAATTTCTTATACGGATATAACGAATTATGGATATAGCGAAGTAATTTCAAAGGTCCCAGCGACTTCATTATAACCGAGTTTTGCTGTATGATCTTCTTACCCTAAGCGGGGTACACAAATTCTCTGAATTAGCTTGTATTTATTTCTTTGGGGTACATACTATTAAGCTGTAAAGAAAATTACCATATAACTAATGCTAATGTTGTTGAATTATATATTATATAGGACCCTGAAGCAATGAGGAACTGGGAAAGAGTGGCAGAGGAAATGCGGGAGAAGTTACAGAAAGCCAGTCAGCATTGTCTTGAGGGAGGAAAAATGACAGAAGAGGAAAAGCACAAGTACTTCATGTCAGGTAAATATTTTTTCCCATAACATTTTACCAATTCTCTCAAATCTATGTACATAACATTCAATCTGAGCACATATGTTTCCTATGTTCTCCTTAAAGAATAAGCTAGGTTACATGTTTATTTACTTTCATTAACATATTTTGATATCTACTATGCTTCTGAATGTTTATATGCAAAATGCTTCTGATGTTTTTTGTTATTTATCATCCCTCGTAACACCGGCCTGTAGAACAAGTCTCCATGTCCCACAGTGGATTCAAACCTGCAACGTTAGGATCAGGCTCCTTATTCCACGAATTTAGAGCAGACACTCTAACCACTGATCCACACTCGGGCAACAATGTGCTAATGTGAAAATTTTTTAAATAGTTGGCAAAGAGGGACAACTTTTGATAAAATTGACAAATGCAGTAACCCAAACAAGTTTGTTATCCAGTTGTTTAAACTCTGTCTGCAGGTCTTTGTAGCAAGTTATTCTTAGATGGGAATATATTAGGTTTGCAGTCACATAATATGTTTTGAGTTCTTTTCATGATTTAAAACATCATGGTCGCTCAGTTGGTAGAGTGCTCGCTCTGTGATCGGAAGGTTGTAAGTTCATATCTTGGCCACAACTGACCTAAGTCAACGAAAAATATAGGCAGCAACTGTTCCTTCAATATGCTCTGGCCACTTTGAAGTGAAAGTTGTTGGTCCTTTGAATGAGATCTTAGTGACAAAGGCCTTGTGTCATGGCAGGTGTTGGCACAAAAAAGATCATTCACTGCCCAATGACCCTGAGTGCCATGTAATGGTCACAATATGAAGCCCTTTACAATATCAATCAATTATGATTTAAAAATAACACAGTAAAATGTATACTGTAAACCAATTATTATACGCGTCATTTTTTATTTTCAAAAACAACTAATCCGCGATTATATTTCCGCGAACAAGTGGTCATATTTTTTTTATTTCCACAAGTATTTTATTTTTTGCATCAAAATTTCATACCCGCTCATAAACTAGGTAAAATGCTACCGTGAGTACTGCTTATGTATTATTTAAGACATTCTGTGAATTGCGTCTATTTAAAATCTTATATCCGCACCTAATGTAGGTAAAATGTTACCATGAGTATACTTCTTATGCATTATTCACGATGCTCGAATGAAAATCGGTAAAATCGAGGAGATATTAAGTTGGTTTAAAACTCCTAAGTGTAAAAATACCTCGTGCTAATTGGGTAATTGATGCTTTACAAGATCTCAAACCTGCAACGTTAGGATCAGGCTCCTTATTCCACGAATTTAGACATGCTAATGTGAAAATTTTTTAAATAAGCCAAAGGGCAATTATTATAAATGGTTGGGACGGAGCAGGACTGGGCCATAATTAGTCATAATTAACCAGGCTATCTCTAACTCGTCTGTGACAATAAATGAACAATAATAACACAAGCTGAAAAATTTATTGACATTTTAATCGTTTTAGACAAATATTTTTAGATTTTCCATTCGTTTATATATTTTTTCTGAATGTTTGTAATAAAACTTCAACTGCTTCTAGAACACTAAAATTCTTCCGTGATTACTTATTGAACCTTCGGGATCGGTACTCAAAAAAGGGCAAATAACTCTAATAATAACATGGGAAATTGAACAACTGGTTGGTCCTTTGAATGAGATCTTAGTGACATATCCTTGTGTCATGGCAGAGGTTACATTCACTGCCGGAACCCTGAGTGCCATATTTATCGCACGTGTATAATACTTGGTTTACAGTAGATTACATGTACTTGTATTAAGATGTATGGTACATTGTTTCTGAAATAGTGACAGAAGAGGAGATAGAGCAGGGAATCTTGAAGTCTCCTGGAAATCCCGTCGACCACTGCCTGTGTTTTGTTAGGATCATCGAGGACATTGATAAGAATCTGGGTCACTCTAAAGCTTGGAGGTACATTGATATGACTGGAAGTACTGTAAACCAGGAGGCACAGAAGCTACTGAACCAACTCAGGGAGGACAAGCTACCGAGGGTCGTCAGCAAAGACAAGATACAAAGGTATACTATAGTCAGTAAAGACAAGATACAAAGGTAAACTGTAGTCAGTAAAGACAAGATACAAAGGTATACAGTGTCAGCCAAGACAAGATACAAAGGTATACTGTAGTCATCAAGGACAAGATACAAAGATATATAGTAGTCAGCAAAGACAGTATACTGTAGTCAGCAAAGACAAGATACATATATATTATTATAACAGTAACTTGATCGAAGGGTAGTATCACTTCGAGTTGACAGGCGCAGATCATCAGATCTAACGATCTAACGATCTGATGATCCGTGCCTGTCAACGAGACGTGATACGGCTCTTCAGATCAAGTTACTGTTATAATGATAAATTTATTATATACCCCCTCATAACTAGCAAAATATAGCAAAAGAAAACTTTAGAGATCAATTGCATATCATTTATCCATAAAACAAAGCATAATAACAAGGGACTTTTTAACGCACAAGAAAAATAACGTCATATTTCTGCGTACTACGTCATCACTTTCAGAGAGTGGTGATATGGATTCAGAAAACAACATGTTGGTGATCCAGAAAATCGGATCACGACATCACTCAATAGCGTAAATTCAACAGTAAAATTGGGTGATACACATTAGGTATATAATAAAAAGGTATACTGTAGTCAGCAAAGACAAGATACAAAGGTAAACTGTAGTCAGCAAAGACAAGATACAAAGGTATACTGTAGTCAGCAAAGACAAGATACAAAGGTATACAGTAGTCATCAAACACAAGATACAAAGATATATATTAGTCAGCAAAGACAAGATACAAAGATATACTGTAGTCATAAAGGACAAGATACAAAGGTATACAGTAGTCATCAAAGACAATATACAATGATATACAGTAGTCAGCAAAGACAAGATACAAAGGTATACAGTGTCAGTAAAGACAAGATACAAAGGTATACTGTAGTCAGCCAAGACAAGATACAAAGGTATACTGTAGTCAGCAAAGACAAAATACAAAGGTATACTGTAATCAGCAAAGACAAGATACAAAGGTATACTGCAGTCAGCAAAGACAAGATACAAAGGTATACTGTAGTCAGCAAAGACAAGATACAAAGGTATACTGTAGTCAGCAAAGACAAGATACAAAGGTATACTGTAATCAGCAAAGACAAGATACAAAGGTATACTGTAGTCAGAAAACACAAGATACAAAGGTATACTATAGTCAGCAAAGACAAGATACAAAGGTATACTGTAGTAAATAAAGACAAGATATAAAGGTATACTGTAGTCAGCAAAGACAAGATACAAAGGTATACTGTAGTCAGCAAAGACAAGATACAAAGGTATACTGTAGTCAGCAAAGACAAGATACAAAGGTATACTGTAGTCAGCAAAGACAAGATACAAAGGTATACTGTAGTCAGCAAAGACAAGATACAAAGGTATACTGTAGTCAGCAAAGACAAGATACAAAGGTATACTGTGTCAACAAAGACAAGATACAAAGGTATACTGTAGTCAGCAAAGACAAGATACAAAGGTATACTGTAGTCAGCAAAGACAAGATACAAAGGTATACTGTAGTTAGCAAAGACAAGATACAAAGGTATACAGTAGTCATCAAACACAAGATACAAAGATATATAGTAGTCAGCAAAGACAAGATACAAAGATATACTGTAGTCATAAAGGACAAGATAAAAAGTTATAGAGTAGTCATCAAAGACAATATACAATGATATACAGTAGTCAGCAAAGACAAGATACAAAGGTATACAGTGTCAGTAAAGACAAGATACAAAGGTATACTGTAGTCAGCAAAGACAAGATACAAAGGTATACTGTAGTCAGCAAAGACAAGATACAAAGGTATACTGTAGTCAGAAAACACAAGATACAAAGGTATACTGTAGTCAGCAAAGACAAGATACAAAGGTATACTGTAGTCAGAAAACACAAGATACAAAGGTATACTGTAGTCAGCAAAGACAAGATACAAAGGTATACTGTAGTCAGCAAAGACAAGATACAAAGGTATACTGTAGTCAGAAAACACAAGATACAAAGGTATACTGTAGTCAGTAAAGACAAGATACAAAGGTAAACAGTGATAGTAAAGACAAGATACAAAGGTATACTGTAGTCAGCAAAGACAAGATACAAAGGTATACTGTAGTCAGCAAAGACAAGATACAAAGGTATACTGTAGTCAGCAAAGACAAGATACAAAGGTAAACTGTAGTCAGCAAAGACAAGATACAAAGGTATACTGTAGTCAGCAAAGACAAGATACAAAGGTATACTGTAGTCAGCAAAGACAAGATACAAAGGTATACGTAGTCAGCAAAGACAAGATACAAAGGTATACTGTAGTCAGCAAAGAATACAAAGGTATACTGTAGTCAGCAAAGACAAGATACAAAGGTATACTGTAGTAAATAAAGACAAGATATAAAGGTATACTGTAGTCAGCAAAGACAAGATACAAAGGTATACTGTAGTCAGCAAAGACAAGATACAAAGGTATACTGTAGTCAGCAAAGACAAGATACAAAGGTGTACTGTGTACTCTGGCCTCCCTTGTCTTTGTAAGGAAAGTCATGAAAGTAATCATTGTAAAGAACAATTGAAAAATTTGGCCTGATTTACTGGTATTCTGTAAAAAAAAATTGTGTACTTGATAAAAAAATATTCAGACTCAAACAATGAAATACACAATATTTAACAAATCACTGTAACCGAGAGATTATAGAAAAAAAATTTTGAGATTGAAAGTAAAGAGGTATAAAAAAATTCAATTACCTTGTACATGTACCGGTACTGGGTAAATACCATCTTGAAAATTTATAAATCTTTTTAAAACAAAATAGAATTTGTTTGAATTAGAACATGAACTTTTTTAGGTCCCTAGTGAAGTGGAGTGACAAGGAGGGTATTAACAGAGAGGACCACAAAGGATACCTCAAACATTTTGCTGAGCAGTTTTATGGTGGCATAAAAAGTCTGCTCGACAAATCTATATCCATGGAAAGTGAACTGTCTAAAGACAATCTGTACATTGAGGTAATTGAATGAAGTAAATTCAGACAGAATTGAAAAGTGTATTGGATACTTTGAATAGTACATGGTTGTGGATTATAGTTTTGTTCTCTCTGCACTCTGAAAGAGACCAACATTGACCCAAAATCTGTGTACATTGTAGTAATTTTTATTATTACTGCTGGCAATACACTTTTTAAATTTTTTTTTTTGAATTTGACCTTTGATCATAAGAAATTTACTTAATGTCTGCATCACTGTTAGACAGTGTGTGAAATAATGAAAAGCATTATGACAATGAATAATAAGTATAAGGAAAAAGTGCATGAAAGTATACTGGTATAATTCTGTAGGTATTACAACACCTGACCATGGCTAAAGAGAGATGTGCCATGTTCCACGGTCGACAGGAAATCCTAGACAAAATTTCCAGCTATTTAAGAGAAGGAGAAAAAGAACCCTTCACAATCTACGGTCCTTCAGGCAGTGGAAAAACATCCATCATAGCAGAGGCTGCTAGAAGGGTAGGAAACATTGAAAGCAAATAAAATAAAATAAATATATTAATGTGTGAATCTTCTATAGGCTCTTGTACTGATGTAAGTTGAAAGAATTTTATAAGAGCAAAAAATGTACAAGACTTTTTCAGCACATTTAAGCATTTAATTTGGCTTTACACAATCTCACTGAATAAACGGTATTGTTATCCTTTAGAATATAACTTCTGAAGCTTTTAACTCTTTGCTACTTGTAGGTGCCATTTGAGTACCATAAAGAGGCAGTGGTGATTCTGAGGTTCCTGGGAACGTCCCCAGACAGCAGTAACCTTCGTCGTCTGCTGCGCAGTCTCTGCAGCCAAATTCTGTACAACGTGTCAGGAAGGGCTGAGAATGTTCCAGAAGAGTTTGATGAATTGGTGATTCTATTTCAAGGACTCTTGGAAGAATACAACTCGGACAGACCCTTAGTCATTCTCCTGGACTCACTTGATCAGCTCACTGAAGATCACGCTGCATACAAACTCAGATGGCTGCCCAGGACACTCAAATCTAATGTCCGGATCGTCTTGTCTTCTTACATTGAGACTGTAGAAATCGTTACTAATTTGAAAGCACTGTTTCATCCTAAAAGTTTCACCATTGTTCCAGTTTTGGGGGAAGATCTGGGATTTCAGATTCTAAAGGTTTGGTTAGAAGGAAGCAATAGAACACTGACATTAGAACAGTTTGATGTTGTCCACAAAGCTTTTCAAGTTTGTAGTCTCCCTCTTTTTGTAAAACTAGTCTTTGAGAATATTCTGGTGTGGAAGTCATATACCCCAATTGATAAATGTGTCCTACAAACAACTTTACAAGAAAGTATATCCTCATTACTTGGACATTTGGAGAACAAGCATGGAAGGATGTTTGTGGAGAGGTCCTTTGCTTACCTGACTGCGTCATTGTCAGGTTTGAGCGAACTGGAGTTTGAGGATGTCATGTCAATAGACGACACGCTGCTGACAGAAGTCTTCAAATTTCAGCTTCCTCCTATCAGAAGAATCCCCTCCCTGCTGTGGATGAGACTAAAATATGATGTACAGAAGTACATTGTGGACAAAGAAGTGGACGAGACCAGGGTAGCTTTCTGGTATCACAGACAATTTATCGAAGCCAGTCAGGAACGCTATCTAAAAAATCCAGTCTTTGCTGCTGAGATTCATTCCAATCTGGCAGATTATTTTCTCGGAAAATGGTACAATGTGCCAAAACCATTCAAATACACTGCAGAACAAGTCAAGAAGTATAGCCTTTCTTCAGCTGATTCTGCAGCAGACAGGAAAATAGCTAATCAACCAATCAAATTTATCTATACAGATCAAGATGGAAATACACAAATCAGGTTTAACAAAAGAAAACTGAACAAATTGCCATTCCACTTAGCAAAAGCAAACAGAGAAGAAGAATTAAATAACATTTGTTTGTACAATTACCATTTTGTATTTGCAAAAATCAAGGCTACTTCAGTGATACAAGTTCTGAGTGACTTTATATATACTAAAGCTGGTAAGTCCAGTGTCTTAGAAAAAGTGTTGAAGTCTTGTCAGTCCAGCCTGCAGAGGTACCCAGATTCCTTGGCATTTGAAGTTTGTGGGCACATGCTGTCTTATTTGACTGAGAAAAGATCCAGCCCTGAAAAAACACTAGTGACAGAATGTTTGAAAGTTTCAGAAGAACAAGAGAAGCCCCTTCCTTTCATGATGTGTTACAATGTCCCAAGTGAAGCCTTGGTGTACAAGCTTGAGAATCAAAAACTTCCATATGGGAACACACACATAGCAGTATCTACAGATGGTAAACATCTTGTTGCCTTAGCAGAAAAGAACCTTGTGTTTTTCTGGGATTTGACCATTGGAGAATTAGAATGTGAACTTCAAATTTTTAATCCAGATACATGCAAATTGAACATTATGGGCTCCAAAAGCAGTGACAATGTGGTGTATTTTTCATCAACATATCAAAAAACAGTACACCCTTTCATCGTAGTGAACATACAGACATCAGAGGTCAAGAAATCAATGATTCTTGGGAAAAATTACCCTGCTGTGGCAATGGCTGATTCTCTCCAATATGGCCTGACTGACCAGAGGATATTTAGTCTTCACAAAGGTCACTCTGCAGACGTCTTTAGCTCAGAGACTGGTCAGCATGAACACAACTTTGGTATTTCTGCAGACGACATGGTTATATCTCCAGATGAAAAGCTTGTAGTATTTCATTTGAAATCCACAACTACTTACGTTATGTATGGTGTGAAGAATTTGGCTGAGCTCACCAGACTGGAAGTGGCTGGTCCTCCTGTTTCCCTCTGTCTCTCCCCTACAACTAATGAGGCCTTTGTTCTGTTTGGAGATACAGGTCAGGTTCACATGGTCAACACAAACAAGGATGATGGCAGTGTGGGTCAGATCCTCAGTGAAATCAGGTCACCAGACGGTCAAAAAATTCAAGAAGCCATGATGTCTTCCAGTGGTAACTTCCTCATTCTGAGAACAGACGAGGGATTTTTCTCCTGGAATTACAAATCAAACAAACTTCACAAAGAATTCAAAATTCCAAATGCTCTCAAACCAGAACATCGTGTTTTAGATATGTTTGGAATTTTACTACCTGATGACAAGGCTTTCCTTATTGGATATGAAGGTCACCTTATATTGTGGGATGTTACAAAAGGTAGAATTAAAGCAAGCATAGAGGCCTACAAGTCAAAGCTGAGCTTCATAATCATCAACACTGCCAGAAGTCTGGCAGTAACTACCTCAAAAAGGAACAATTCAGTTCAGGTGTGGAATTTGAATGCCATGGAAGCAAGTAACTCAAAGTTTCAACCTTTGACAATGAAGACAAGTCCAAGGTATATTGATGTGTGCAAGACAGGTGAATTAGCAGTAGTAAGGGGACACCGTGCTAATGATGTGTCCGTTGTGGATCTGGTAAATGGGCGTGTCAAGATGAGTATATCTGACCTGTATCACTTTATGAGACCCGTGGTTTCTCCCGATGGAGCTCATGCCATTTTGCGGGAATACCATGGGGAGAGTGTTATTAAAATTTGGGACACTGCGACTGGACATATGGTATGTTCTCTTCCACTGAGCAGTCTTGAGGTGAAACACTACAAATGTTCCAATTCGAGGGTGTTGGTGAAAACTCAGGTTGAAAATGACTCGACATTCAGTTTCTGGGACATGAAAACGGGAGAGAAACTTCATTCCATTAGAATGAATTATGTAAATATTGGGGAAATCATTCTGGAAATGACACATTCTGATGACGAAATTTTAGTTTCTAGAAATCAGAAAGGTGAAGATGTAGGAGCCTGTGATTTATTGCTGGTAAACGTCCACTCTGGTGAGGAACTTTTCACCGTACCGGGTGTGAACCCATCTAGAATACAGCCAATAGGAGATAGTGGGTACTTATTTCTGTCAGAACAGGTTGAAGGTGATATGCAATATCTCATCATCTTGGACACAAAAATCAGAAAAATTATCAAAAAAGAGAAAACAAACCCAATGCCCCAGTCTTTTCTGAGTCTCGATTTTGCTGGGCGTTATGGGATTGACAGAGCTTTGAATTTGTACGACTTGACAACACTTAAACATATACACCAGTTTGATATAGAAGAAAAGGAGGTAATGAAGAAAAATGTCAAAACCAAAGCCACTGCTCCCAAGATGATGCCTAATGGTCAGGTTGCTGTGTGGCTTAATATTCGGGGAGGGTTACTTAAAGTGGGGAGCATCAAGGAAAAAGAAATTCTGAGTGTGTTTCCCGTGCACAGCATTCCGATCAATTTAGACGTCTCCATGAAGGGGCTGATAATTGTGGGGTGTGAGGATGGGAGAATCATGCTGCTCCAGTTGCCTGACTACTCTACTGAATCCAAGGACAGACTCTCTGTGTTTGTAAGTGAAGTGTCTCAGAGATTAATCAGACTTTCCAAGGATGTGTACACTGGTGTGACTAAAAGGAGCAACAGACCACAGGGACAGCAAAACAAGAAATCAAGTGTTTGTGCAATAGTATAAAGGTTGAATCAAGATTGTTATATGTTAAAAAACATGTAGAGATGAAATGGGGGCAAGTACAGACAAGAGGATGGATCTGCTTGAACAATTGTTACTGAATACTAGTCTAGTCATCTTCAGAAACTCTAGGCCCATCTCGCATATGATTATCAATATGCATACGGGATACTGCCTTGGGTTTCCAATGTTATATTCTATTTTGCTGATCTCTGACCTTCCTATTTCTTTCAGTTTTTGGTAACATAGCTTTTTGGCAGTTTATTTTGTTTTATACTTCTATAGATTTTTACAGAGCTGTATTATTTTTAGATGACCATTAAGGGCCATAGGCCTCTTGTTTTATGTCTTAACTGTATCTTTTTCTCTGTTAGATGTAAGAAAGTGAATCCTCGTTAGTTGATTCTTTTTGGACCTGTCTCCTAGAAGATATATAACCACTGTTATTTTTTATATATACATGTTATGTACTCTGAAGTTGCCATTTGTTAGACTGTTTTTGTGGATTAAATTGATATTTATAAGACTGTGATAAATTTGCAATATTTCAAGTCTCAAGTCAATATTGCATATGCTGTGATAGAATTGGATATTATTTTAAATTTTCTATTTTTGTACTGCTTTAGGGTAAAACATATAACATTTAATATTCCATGTACCGTTACATTAATCTTACTGATGTTACAATTCTAGAGTCTTAGTCAAGCTTATTTTGAGGCATTATTTTTAAAATCTTTTTTTTTAGATTGTCTTTTAGCATTAATTTCCACTTAGGCAATTAAAACAAATTAAGTTCTATTTATTATATTTCTACTTAAATTATTTACTAATGACAATAAAAATGTTTAAAAAAATATATATATATATATATATATATATATATATATATATACATGTATATATATATATATGAGATATATACATGTATATATATGTGTATACTGTATGCAACTTAAAATACACAGGAACTCATCTGATATTTGCAGTCAAAGATTGGCAACAATTTTAGAATTCCAAAAATAATATGAAAGTACATTTATACTGTAAAATCACATATTTATGTGGGGGTCAAATTTTGGAGGTTTAATGAGGAAAAAAAAAACATTGGTTTGTGGGGATTTGATTTCATGGTTGGAAAATGTTAAGTAGTAAATAATGCATGTGAAATTTTAAACATTTTGTGGTAGTCATAAATCCATGTGTCTCTCCATTAACCTAAAGAACAACCAAAATTAAACCCTCACTAAAATAATTGATTTCACAGTGTTAAGTACAAAGAAAAACTGCCACAGCCACAAACATAATGTTAAATTGATACCTGGAGGAATTTAAATTTAGACTGAATTCACTTGGCCTGCAGCCTTTTTATGAGATTGAGAACCAAGACTTTCTCTCTTGATTCACAAGTATTTGATACTGGTCTTAATATATAGGTGTAATTTATAGGAATTAAAACAAATTAAAAGGGGCTTTATAATCCAGCTCATTAAAAGCCTATACAAATGGACAAAAATTACATGCATACTGTGCAAGTCATCTATAGATTTATCTGAGTAGATGAGGAAGAGATGATATCTCAATTAGAAAAATGTAATTTGTAACATATTACCAGAGGGTCTCTGATATTATACAGATTACTCAAAAGATCCATGAGCCTCCTCCTTTCTTTATTTGGATATTTTATTAGAAAAAGATGTTAATGATGATAAACCTAACAGCCAAGGTTTGTGATAAATGTAGTAACATAACATATTCATTTTTTCAATCATCAAAGTCCCTTACTTCAATGTTTTCCCTAAGAACCAGCAACCAGCCAAATTGACCGATTCAATTGACAAAAATGCCGCTTTGAAATAACAATTTGTTATAAGATCCACCGAGATTTTGTTCATAAACCTCATACCCTAGACTTTTACAACTGATCTCTAATCCTTTACTTTGAAATAAAAGGAAAACACTGTACTTATGTAGCAATATATATCCTGATCACCTAAATATATACAGGGTTTATGTATAATTCAATACTTGAGGGTCTCTATGAGTGTACAATTTCTAAAGCAAAAGCAAGTTACTGATGAACAAGTTGAAGAAACAAGGATGACAACTGTATTATTTGAAGTCAAGTTTTTGGTGGATACAATGGCCTTGTCAGCAAATATAATAACCTATCATTTTTTTTATCATGACAATGAGTACATGGCAGGAGTGACCAGTTGGCAGGGGATACTCCCTCCTCTATGGCACTTGATCCCACCTCTGGTGTTTTTGGAGGTCCATGTTTGTTCTGCTCCCATGTAGATTCCTTTAAATGGACTTTGAGGTTGAATACTGTTCATTGGCTCCATATTTCATTCCTCATTTTATACTTCAGAACTCATTTATTTTAAAGCTTTATGCCTAGGGCATCTCCCATCAGACTCATGCATTGGTATTAATGTATACCTGCCCAACTACCTTTCCATCTCTTGGAGCTCAGAGAGGAAAAAGTGTGTCAATTGAATAATTAGATGGCAGCTGTGATCGGTTGGCAGGGGATGCTCAGTCCTCCATGGCACCTAATCCCACCGCTAATGTTTTGGTGTTCAGTGCTCTGCTAGCTCCTATTTTGTATTCTTTTATGGACTTTTGATCTTGAATACTGTTCTTTATCTCCATAATTATCTTTCATGAGGACTTGGTAGACAAAAGAGGAAATTCCTATATATAATGAAGTTGAAAAAAATCTGAAATATTATATTTTTACATATTGGATACTTTTAAAATGCTATTTTAATTGGTTTATCTACAAGTTATCTCCCTTTCATCGCCTTGAATTTTTCCGCGCACTAAAATACTAGTAAGAGTAATCTTCTCTTGATTTCAAACTTGGTCAATAGGAGGCCAAACACTTCCGGAGAGCTTCTACATGCTACAGACACTGAAGACAGGTATGACAAGATTTTATTTGAAGAATAATTCTTTGTAAGATGTCTGTTTAAAGAATAAAGTGACATTTTGAAATATTCTCTTTATTGTGATTATTTATATTAAATGATGTGTTGCTTACCTTCTGTTTATGCGATTAAACGTGACGATGAGCTGTGCAAGGTCAAGCTATAAATCATCAGTTGTTTCTTCATCATCAGTGATGAAGTTCATCATCTGTAATCATCTAGCGGCATGTTTCCGTGCCTGTATATTATGGAGTACAAAAATGATGGATTTACACAATTTTGTATACAAAAATATGGTGATGAATAAATGTGGAAACGTCTGAATGTTTTCCCCTTTCCATCCTATTCTGTTTCTTGAAATATTATCACGCAGGGTATGTGTATAGATATTCATGCTATTGATGAAGAAAATGCATGCAATATTTATCATTTCAGTTGTTCAACGGTTCACAATGACATAATACGTCAAACAAAGTATGAATGATTAATTTCAATTTGTTATTAATAAAGAGCAGATTATAGGCTAAGGCACAGTTGTAACCTACAGTGAATTGTTAGACATTTTAATATATGCATGGTTATGAGAGATGTTTTTCTGATAGAAAAGAAAACCATAGTTTACATAAAAATGGGTATACCTCCAGACTGGACCAGAGTACAATTATGCATTTGTGAAAAAGGAATGTAATGTTATGCATGGTGTTTAAATGAAGCATGTTATTATAAAAAGTAAGCCTTTTATGTAAATTTCTTTTGAATCTTAATTAAGGTTCATTGATACTATGTTTAGAGGAATAACTAATAATGAATATCACAAACAGTCTATTATTCCTGTATAAATTTATCATTGTGTGTATGTGTTATTTTGCCCCACAAACATAATATAATTGTTTGGTGTTTTACTTTCAAAATATATTTTTTCTGAACATCATAGAATATTTAAACCAACATATTCTAAGCATGAGCATATATAGCTAGGTTTTATGAACCTTTACTTCTTTATTTACATGTATTATGTAAAAAAAAAATGGGGGGGGGGCATCAATTAATTTCATATCATATTAGTTGTATATATTTTATTGCTGTACTACTACTAATACCTACCATAACTTAAGGGCACCATTATAAACTGAGTCTAGTGTTTTTTTAGGGGGATTGCACAAACATTTTATTTTTATAGATTTTGATGTTTGCTGGCTGTCTTGTACCCCTGCTAACAGCTGACTTTTCAGATAAGCTCTGTTTGGATAATGTCTTTGAATGCCTGCCAAATTTTTCCCCTTAGCTATATGATAGTTTATGGATTTTTGTGTGAAATTCCCAAAAAATTAAATGATAATAATTTCTATAAACATGTCAAGAACTGGTAAACTGAGAGATAAACTTTCATAAGAGTTAATTTCATTATATATAATATACATCTCTCTCCAGTGTGCAATTTAAGGCAGCTCTAAAAATTTCACAGCAATAAAAAACAACGTTAACAAATAAACAAAGCTTTGCATGTAACAGAGAAACCAGTTGCAAATTGAAATAGCAAATGCCACAGCATTTTGTTATGTTTGATCTGCCCAATCAGATAAAAGATTTGTTCCGTAATGTAGAATCATTGATCTGGGTTCTAATTGACATGGCTGATGCCAGACAGTTGGAGTTGGCGTTGACTCACACTTTATATTGATTTTATCCAAAGACTTAGTTTGCATATGCACCCGGCATGTCACTTGTGTGCACATTTGTTCTGTAGAATGAAACGTTTTACCCATGCTGACAAGCATTTTCGTAGATTTAATTTGGCATTCGATGAAACATTTATTTTCTTGAAGGACTCTTTTATTGGGAAATTGTAAGTTGATTCTCTGGTTATTTAGTTTGGTTTTAATCGAGACATTGAATTGTGTATAAAAGATTGGAGTGTAACATGGTCTATTGATTATTATACAAGGTGAACATCATTTTCTTTGTAATATCTGGTTTGGGTATAGACATCTTTTTTATTTGAAGTTTGTCTATTGCTGCATTATCATATTACAAGGATTGGAATTTGCAAGCCAAATATTTGGATGAAAATACTTCAAATTATTCTTAAAGAAATGAATAACTTCTACAATTTTAATAAGCACCTGCTGTATTTTATAAACATTACATGCTCAATAATTATTAAGTGTGTATTTATCTTATGCATAGCAGGGGTTAGGCAAACCATGAATTGTGTATCTATATAAAGACATTTAAGATGGCTCTAACCCCAATACACAATGAAGTCTGACATTAAAGGGGCAGGCTTTCTATCAGGTATAATAACATTAGTGGTGAGGATCTAGGTCATTGTCAGGCGGACCACTGCAGCAAGAGGTAAGACTACGCCCTTTATCTAGACTATAGCTATGATAAGAATTAAGAGATCTAAAGTAGTACAGAAACTGTATCTTTGACATTTTTATTGAACATAGGAGTTATGAAGAAGAAAGTTTGGATCATGTCCAAATATATTGTTGTGGTAGTAGTAGTACTAAGACACCTGTCGGAATAGTCAATTGATTGCAGGCATATTTGAATTATGCAATTCTTTTGAATTGACATTATACTCTGAAAAAGTTATAACATATAAAAAAAAAATTAAAGGGAAGTCAATTTGTACACAAGCTGGATATGTTATTTTCCAAAATCCAGGTCACTGGTGATACTTTTATTGTTTAATGAGTGTACAAAGAACTGTACCGGTACATTATTATAATAGGAGAGCTCTCCCCCTAGTGAACTTGTCAGATTATGAAAGTCGCAGGTGATGTTTAAGGATTGGGTTAATTGGAATCAATTCTCTGATTAAATCACTGTTTCACCTGGTTGTACAGGTGTGCCAGTCCTAGGTGACATGGAAGGGGGGTACGTGAAATCTAACCCCAATTTGTTTACATGTGGTGCAATTTTTTTATTGTAACGAACCGAGATGACTTTGTACGGGTTAAATGACACTGTGTGTTGTTGTAAAAGGCTGATTTAATCGCAAGGTACACCAATGCTGAATTAAAAAACATTAACAAGTGTTTCCTTTTAAAGCTGTTCTATGAAATGTAAAAGAGGTTGAAAAATGCCCACTCAGGGACTTGTTTATTAAGAATGTATTAGACATGGCTCCGGGCGACTTCTGATTAAAATATATAGAGCATTAGTAGGCTGAGCAGTAATTAATCTGCTTTGCAAAAGGAATATAGTAGTGTTGTGTCCAAATATAAATATTTTTGGCCAGTCTGTGGCTGCTGTTTGTATTTCCATTGGATTGCTGCCGCGGTGTGACAGTTTTGTGTTTATTGTAGTCAGCGTCTGATGTGGAAGTAACTCGTACCTGCTCATTGGTAGTCCAGACGTAAGTATAAGACGGCTAATGAGCCCTAATCCACGCTGCCTGGTATAGACGTATATATTTACCTGTCTCTTATCTCTATAAGTGTATGTTGATTTTTGGTCTGACTGCCAGGACTGTAGAAAATGACTGTTATGTTTTTTTTTTTAAATGTTTAAGGTGAACTTGAAAGTGAAAGTTGCTTTTTAGTCGCTTTGAAAAGCAAACTGTAATTTGATGCTAATTGTCTTGACAAGGGGAATGTTGTTTGTGTTTTTCATAATATAAGCTTCCAAAAAAATCTTAGACTGTAAAAATAAAAACACACCAAATACATGTATACAAACAGCCATTGTTTGATGGGGGAATTTATTGTAATGGCATCAGTTTCCCCTCCATCTATTTGTTCATCTGTTACCTTTTTCGTATACAAATCATTGAAGTCATAGCTCCCACTTTATGTGAGAACAATCAAACCTTGTCAGTTGATACATTTGGAGAAAGATGTGTCACAACCTAAAAGTAGGTCACCAGGACCTCATTTTGGAATTAAATGCATGCAGTAAGACTCATATCTTGTACAATAATGGCTTCTCTTACAAGAGCTTTGGTTAACTTACCTATTGCCTACCTCTGCTCCTTCCCGATATTCCTTGAACTTCTTTGCGATGCCAAGTCAAAAGTATCTCACCTTGAACCTCTAGTATGCTCCAGTTACTATAAGGCTAGACCTGTCAAGCTTGGTTAGTTGATATATCTTAGGATGAAATAACCTTGGCTTCACAGAGTAATGGCTACACACAGTTAACTATTGTCTGGATCAATTTTTGGACACTTGGAGTCCTAGAACATCATACCTTTTCTGTTGATGCAGCTGGGATAGAAGGTGTGTCTTGTCCCATAAGTTACCATGCATTCATTTTAAGAATTTTTAAGGCTTAACATCAGCAAAGTGTGTCCAGATGATATATTGCATTTTTGGTCATAATACCATCAAATTTGGTAAGTTTATGCATCTTCAAGGTGTGTGTGTGTGGGGGAGGGGGGTTCTAACCCAACAATACATTTTTAGTTAGAAATTACATTTGGTAAGAAAAACTGTTGCCCGTTGAATGTTGGAACCATACCCTCTAGCATAAATTTTCTTGGAATGAAAGATTTATTATTACCTCAACTACATGTAGTACATGTGTTCATTTACTGGTAACGAAACTGTTTCACATTAATGGTTTGCTTGCCAGTGTAAGATCTCCACTGAATTAAAATTGAAATGAAACAATTTCATTTACGGACACCAGAGGTGAACAAGATTACAGTGATTATTGTGTATTTGAAAACATTTGACAGGTTTCCTCGTCTCTGTATTGGACAGTGGTGATCCTACGTGTAAATATTGAGATTTTTGGCTGAATCATATTTACAAATTGCATTAAGGTTATGTACTATTTATCCTACAGAAGTGTCCTTCCTCGGACCTTACAATTTAAATTGAATGGAGCTATATTTTACACTTCTCTTCTTTGATGTGACAGTAAATGGTCACATTTTACTTACTTGAAAAGAAAACACAGTAACTACTCTCCATTCTTTGCCCTATCGGAGATGTGAGTAGTATGGACTTTTGACATTCCATTTACACGTCTTATAAAGGTAAAAATATCATTGATTAAGTGGAATTTTGTGTAGGCTGACAGTAACGAGATGTCTATAGGGAGGTATCAGTACAATGTATATATAGATACCTTTGTGATTTTTCCGAGGACATTGTACATCAATCGGATAGAAATAACTGTCAACACTAGCCTGCCGGGGAAAGTAATTATGACACAAAATTGGCATATGCAGAGATAAACATCCATATGTATTTTCCTTTTTATGTTAAAAGTTGAGATTTTTCTTCTAGATAGATAGTTTGATGTGTTAAAGGCCCCATTTTTGTGGTGATAAATATTGTTTACTGTATAGAATGTATATGATATACACCCAAGGACAAATAGTTGCCACTTTGGGTGCTAAATTGACTTAATTAGGTAAATGTTAATAATTATGATCACACATGATAATGATACATTTATGGCATATGTTGAGTCCCATGTAACTGATACTGTTGATTTTTTTTTTTTTTTTTATAAATTGTACATATGTTCTAGGTCTATACAACTATATGTTAAGTTAGACAGCTATCATGAGGTAATTTTTCCCATAATTCTGTTCCTTCAATTTGCATAAAAAAACTAAATGTCATTTTAAGGCTTAATTCTATCCCATGAAAATAATGAATGAATATGGGAGTGATGTAACTAGATATTACAGTAGCGATCATTATAAGAGAGGAAAACTCTGTAATTTTACTTGGGATGAGGCTGTAAGAGAAATGCTTGATGGATGGTGATTCTCTGTTCTATAAAATATTGTATGACAGATGGATGGGTTTAATTATTTTGCTCCAGCCTCGTCAGGCATGCTGAGTACCCTCATTGATTGTGGTATGTGGGTTAACCCTCTAAAATCTACCCCTCAGGGTTCCAAAGGCCAAAAAACTAGGTCATGTATTGGAGGAGAATTAGGGATGGAGGAGATATGTTTTTAATGAACAAGCACCTGCTAGATCTTGGCACATGTAGCTAGCTAACTTGTTTTGATGTTCTCCCTCTAACACTAACAGTAAAACGTCTCAGGTCTGAGGCAACAACACTTGTCTTTCCTGTGAATTCAGAACATCACGGCCAAAGGGAGGAGCTACAATTTGTTTCTGTGTACATTATTTATCAAGAGATCTGAGTTCTGCAAAACTTTCTGAATATGCAGTCTCTTAACTCTTATCCTTGTAAGCTTGGTTATACAGTTTTTGTCAGAATTAGTGTTTGAAGCCCTTGAATCCTCTACTGCTGTTCTCTGTGGGGCACCTCCCCTGCTGATCCGGATGAAATGCCTTATCATCTAGGGCTGGCAAGCATGATGATTGTTAATTATTGATCTCTGCAAAATTACCATTTAATAGATTAGTCATTCATATTGTCCAGTTACCCTTTTATGAAATGTCCATATTAAACAAAAAAAAAAAACTGTTACTGTGTTTAGAACAGAGGGTTACCGGCTGTTTTCTTAATGACCCTGGTTTAACACTTTATGATAAACATCTTAAGTGATGATGAGTTGAACTGAATGGTGTGTAGGTGTGTGAGGTCAGATTTCCCCCTCCTGGGACCTCACCTTGATAAGAGAGAGAGGAAGCAGGGAAGGATTGAGTTATGTCCTAGATGCTAGTGCAACAGCCATTCATCTTGATGCAAGCCCAGGATAATCAAACCCTGTAAACGTTGTACTTATACCCAGTCTTTTATCTGTTTCAGAAATTCAAGCTAATCGTGTGAAATTTCTTGAAGATATCTTTAACAGTTTGTGCTAGAGGATTTCTATTAATGTGATTGGTGCAATTCTGTGGATTCAAGTGAGTATAAATTTACATTATTAGTCACTCAGTTAATATATTGCATGTCTGTAAGAAGTACTTTGTCTTAGGGAGGATAAGATTTCATAAATCCTTGAAGTGACTCATTACAGGAATAATATACAACATTTAAAGCATTATTTACATCTTTAACAAATTGATAAGAAAATTGCTCGACATTGCATACAACTGAATTGTGTGGTAAATTTGAAGGGATTAGTGATATGGACAAAACAAATCTCAAAGATTCTGAGAGTGGTTCCTGAGACTGAAACATCTGAATCAATAACAGAACAGACAAATTAATCAATCCTAATTTAACAAGGGGACAACTCAGAAAATAGAAAATATTGATTGACAAAAGGATATAGAACAAATTTCTTGGTTGGCTAGCCTACAGACAAAATATGGGGAGTGTGCCATAGTTTGCAGATTAATGGTTTCGCCATATGTTTGTTGTTACAAAGTGAGAACATTTGCTGTATGGGCCTTACTACACATGTTTTACAGTTAAGAGTTTTGAAGACTCCAGCATGTTCGGAGTAAATAGTATTATCTCCTGATGACAGGGCTGAGAATAAACCTAGATAGGGGAGCTGCATTCCTTACCCCGAAGCCTATAATAATTGTAATTGTAATGAGCTAGTGGAGCATATGTTAGCCTGATTTACATGCCTGTGTCTGGTGTATAGTAAACTAGGAATGTTAATACAAGTATTAGTGCATAACTAAGTGAAGAAGATAAAGGGACCCAGCTGTGTTGTACAATATCTTGGCTTAAAGCAGAGGTTTGGCCATACCCACAAACTAACTTTAATAAGCAGGTCTTGTGGAAGTGGAACAGCAAGGAATTTCTGAATATTACAAGCCATAGAATGTTGTTTTGAATGGAAATAGCCCCCTGTTTTCATTTTCTTGACACAAAACTATTGCTACAGTAGCTACACCATTATATAAAATTTTTATTTATTATATGAAACTAAATTATTTCCTTTCACAAATGTGCTT